CGGCCGCGCGGTCTCGGATTCTGAGGTCGGGGCCAGCCGCGTAGTCAACGCCTGAGTTCAACGCCGTGGAGGATCTAACAGAACACAGATCAGAAAGAAGGGCCGGAACTTGATCTCCAACATGCTTCGGGGAAGCAACGATGGCAGCCTTGTCCGTCGCGAGACTGCAGCCGAAGACATCCTACGCAATAGAGCGCAAACGGCGAGCACCAGAGACAATGCTGGAGATCACAGTTTTGGCAGAACCTGTGGTCGTAAGACCATGGTCGTCAGTATATACATCTAAATCGAGGTTGGGCAGGGGAAGAAACCGATCATGACCTTCCATCCCGTGCGCTCGAAAGGTGGCGGCAAAAGAACGCCCAGCGATAACCCCCCTATTCGCGTAGTAAGGCCCCCGGATAACTCCTCCCAGGCAGGAATGAGCCACGCCTGTAGGCGAGCAAGCAGAGGCGGGTCAGCACAGGCGGAAACCCATGCCGATAGCAACGAGCTTCCAGTGCGACAAGGCTGATCGTCTCGTAAAATTTGCGAAGGTCAAAAAGAATGGCACAGGAGCTTTGACCTTCGGCAGCGCCGCCTTCAGCTTTGACAGCTTGACGCCAGACAACGTCGGCAGCCCCTCGATGCTGACCAGCAGCCCAAAACCTCCTGGGGTGTTGCTGTTCCCAGGCCAGGGCGAGGGGGCGGCTGAGACGCCCCCGAACCCCGCGCCGGGAACAGAACGCCCCCATCGGTCTGTAGCCACCACTCGGCTTCGACAGCAAGGCCAACAACGGGGCAGAGATCTGAGGAGGGAGAGCTCCCAAAGCTCCCATGAGCGAGAGGAGCATGCTGAAACGCGCGAGGGCCTGATCGTCCAACAGCTGAAAGTGGCGGCAGTGGAATCCGCCCAGAGAAACAGCAGAGTCCTTTTTTGCATTCCTTGGGGGCCGACCTGATGCCTCCAACAGAGATGAAAGGAGGGGGGGGGGGCGCAACGAGCGAGCCTGGGGGGGCGAGCCCCGCTCCCCCGATCCCACCACGAGGCAGCGCGATCACCCTCAGCCTTGAGCAGCGACAACGGATGAAGGGGGGGGGGGGGGGGCGTCGGAGTCCATGGGGGCGGGCCCCGAATAATCGGGCGCGCGCGCGCGCTTCGAACCATAATCGATGCCGACATGCAGCCAGGCCGACCAGTCATCTCTCGACCTCTGGCCGAAGTATCTGGCGGCCGCGTCGAGCTCGCTCCTGACCTCAGTCTCAAACGCTTCTAGGACTGAGCAGGAGACCGACTGCGCTCAGGCACGGACGAGCTCTGCAGCACGTTCAAAAAGACAAGCTCGAGCGCCAACATTACTGGCTAGGTGCAAAGGCGGCGCAGCAAGTACATTGCCCAGCGCCAGCACCTGGCGGTTACGACCAAGGCGCCTGGAGAGCACGCGAGCGCGCCACTGTGCAGCAAGCCACTTGATGGAACGAAATTCGGGGTGCTTGGCCCGGCCTTCACCTGGCAACATCGAACGCCAAACGAGCTGGGGACCCAGAGCCAGTGCCCAGCTTCGTGATTCCAGCCCCCAAATTCGGAACCAAGTCCTTCTCGCCACGACTGGCCCACGCTTGATGCAGGGGGCCCAAGAGCTCAAGAGCCCCTTGATCATCTCCCTTCTTCACCCGACCGAGAGCTTTTCCAGCCGCGTCCAGCTCGCGGGCCCGCGAGGCCGCAGCAGGGCGAGGGCCGCGCGCAGGTTTGACAGGGAGAGGGGCGGGGCATCCGAAACGGGAGGGCCTGAAGAATCGATCGCTGAGGGAAGAAGGGCAGGCTGACAGGACGATGGGGCGACAACGAAGTCGACCAATCAACCTCGCGCGGGCGAAGACCCTTCGCAAGACCTCCAGAGCACACGAAATCATCAAAGGCGTCGGCCGTGCCAGACGGAGAATGAGTGCGCGTCGATGGGGCGCCGCAGCACCGCGCAGCCTGCGGCGAAACACGAATCCTCCAGGAGCGGGAGCTCGAAGTTGTGGTCAGCCCCAGCGACAAACGGCAGAGCATTCTGCGACGATAGAAGGCCTAACTCCAAAAGAATGGTGCGATTGCGGTCTGATGGATCTTCAGAGTGAAAGAGATACGACGACGTAGCGACAATAGGGGGGCAAGCAGGGAGACGAACGAGGTCAGCAAGACAACGACTCGGCACCATTTCACCTCCTTCAATGCTCTGCAGACCCAACCAAGAGCGAGCGAAGATGGCCACCCCAGCTGAAGTGTCTCCAGCTTCAGTGGCCGCAGCATCCGACCAGAAGGATTTCCAGCCTCTCTTTTGGCACCGAGCGTTGGCGGCGACCACGTCCGCGCCTCTCAGGCGATGCTCCTGGCGCAGGATGACTTAGGCGCGAGTGTAACCTACAATCAGGTCTTTCATGGCCCCCCAGGAGTTACAATTGACAGTCCTAATGTTCAACTCGATCTTGTTCGGATCAGGTGCCGGCTCCTGGTCGCAGTTATTTTGGGGCACGGGCGCGTCGCCACCAGAGCCTTGGGCATCCACGATGCCAGGCTCGGCCATCTGAGACCAGTAAAACTGCGATCCAGCGAAAGGTGGGGACGGGGAAGCCCTCCCTTCCAAGAGAGAGCTGAACCTGGTGCTCGGGTCTGCCAAGGGCAGCGCCACGCACGAGACGAGACCGAGTGATGGCCGACACTGCCATGCTTCTCTCCAGGCGTCAGGACAGGATGCAGCTTGGCAGGCCTGGCAACATCGAGCGGCGCATTTGAAAACATCCGACTGAATGATCTGGCGTGAGCAGGGGTGTGAAGCACAGCGTCAGCACGGGCAATGAGAGAGGACCAGCGAAACTTGGCTGACGAAGCTGAGACATGCACACCTGAACGCTTCAAAAACCTCGGGATACCACGACGATTCCAGAGCCGGATCTGAGCCTGAGAAGGAGACTCCAAGAATATGCCATCTGGTAGAAAAGTAGATAAACATCTCCCTGGAAGAAGTGCTCTGAATCCAGGACCAGGAACCAGACCGAGAAGAGCCTTGAGAAGACCAGTCGCTCAGAGGCTTCCAGGGGGGAATCATGAGCCAGGACCGCCGGGCGCAATCCTGGCAGCGCGCTCTCGAACGCCGGCCTGAGCCTCAGGTGTGGGCGCCGCAGGCGCCCGACCATCAGCTCCTGCACCGTCTCCCCGAGCGCCCTCAGCAGCGGCAGCTGCAGCGCCCGCAGACTCCGCTGCTCCAGCAGCGGGCTCAGCACGCTCGTCGTGTCGAGGGCGCTTCGCCTGCAGCCGCTTGAGGTGCGCCTCGTGCTCCCGCCTGAGAGCGTCAACCTTGGACTTGGCGTCGCGGAAGAGACTGCCCGCCAGGCCTGAGATGCCCTCGCGAAGTTGTGCAGCACGCGCCTCAAACTCCTTTTTGTCCTCGGGCTTGATCTCGTAGTCGGTCTCGTGGATATTGAGGATGCCCGCCGCCGAAAGGTCCAGCAACCGCTCGAGCTTGGAGGGGGCCAGAAAGTCGTCGATGCTGAGCTTCGACGGCGGCGCGTCAGGCTCCGACTGAACTGCAAGCTGAGCATGGAGCTGACGAGCGAGGTCTCTGTGCTCCTTCTCGGACTGCTGCAGCTCCTCGCGAAAGCTGGTGACATGTCGGCGCTGAGCATCAACCTTCTGCTCCATGGTCTCGAACTTGAAGACTGCCCCTTCGAGCTTGTTCTCGACCTGCGGAGCCTTGGCGTGCGCCTGCTGGACGCGCGCCTCCAAGCTGGCTGGCCTAGGCGCTTGAAGGGCCTGAGCCGCCATGCGATATGAATGTGCAGTCTTGGTGTCGCCCATTTTGTCGTAGAGTGAGGCCATCTGCTGGTACTCTTCGACGGTGAGCTTGACAGGAGCCGGCGCTGGAGAGGAAGCGCCGCCAGCACCACCTTAAATTCCTGCACCTCCGTGACTGCCGCCGAAACCTCCACCAGGAGGCGTGCTTCCCTTGAAGCGCCCAGGCGGTCCATGATGGGCGTTTTTGGGCTGAGCATGCCACGCGCTGTCTGGGGCCCGTGGACGAGAGACGCCGCAATGCTTACACTACGTGAGCCAGCTGGCATTGCGTCGGCAACCACAAGCGTCACATGTCCAGCGCTGGCCAGCGGCAGCGAAGACTGCTGAAAGCACAGGTGATTGTTGTAGGCCAGGAGCGAGAGGAGGCCAAGCATCCCGAGAAATCGGACCCTTGCCCCCGTCGCCTTGAACCCACGGTGCATCGTAGAAGCCCTTGCAGCAGCCGCCTTTGTCCCCTTGAGACTTGCCGCCGCCTTGACCCTTGCCCATGCCGTCACGAGTGCCGTGATGAATGGTTGCTGTGAGCACAGCTGAACGTGGAAGAGGAAAACAACACCGAACTACCTTGGCCCGCAACAGCAATGTGCCGTTCTGAATCGGTGCTGTTGCAAACCCAAAATCTTGGGCCAGAACGGCTACTTGAGCCAAAATGGCTACGGAGAGGAGGGAGGAGGAGGAGGAGGAGGAGGAGGAGGAGGAGGAGGAGGAGGAGGAGGAGGAGGAGCGAGGAGAGGAGGAGAGGAGGAGGAGCAGAAGGAGGCGAAGGAGGGACGAGGAGGAGGAGGAGGAGGAGGAGGAGGAGGGGAGAGGAAGGAGGAACGAGGAGGACGAGGAGGCGGAGGAGGGAGGAGGAGGAGGAGGAGGAGGAGGAGGAGGAGGAGGAGGAGGAGGAGGAGGAGGAGGAAGAGGAGGGAGGAGGGAGGAGGGAGGGGAGGAGTGAGGAGAAGAGGGAGGAGGAGGAGGAGGAGGGAGGAGGAGGAGGAGGAGGAGAGGAGGGGAGGAGGAGGGGAGGAGGAGGAGGGAGGAGGAGGAGGAGGAGGGAGGAGGGAGGCGGAGGAGGAGGAGGAGGAGGAGGAGGAGGAGGAGGAGGGGGAGAGGAGGAGGAGGAGCAAGAGGAGGAGGGGGGGGGAGGGTGAGGGTGAGAGAGGATGAGGCTTCTGGTTGTGGTCCTCTCCTCCCCGAGGAGGTGGCCGCCGCCCTCCAGGAGCGCCTGGAGCCCGCCGCCCGGCTCGACGCCTGCGCCGCGCAGGCCCACGCTTCCAGCGCCGGCGCCACCTGCCCGGGAGGCCGCGTGCCGTCGGCACGGCGGACCTTGGGGAACAAACAGAGACATGCAGTCTATGCAGGGGCACGCTCCTCCTCCTCCTCCTCCTCCTCCTCCTACTCCTCCTCCTCTCCTCTGTCCTCCACCTCCTCCTCCTCCTCATCATCATCCTCCTTCTCCTCCTCTTTCTCCTCCACGGCGGACCTCGAGGAACAAAAGAGCAAGACACATCGAAGAAGAAAAAGCGCCAGATACATAAACTTTTAGCGCTCCGCGCGGACTTCTTGGATCCGCGCTGGGCCTCACCCCGCGGCGCCTCTGGCGCCGCCCCTGGCGCGCTCCGCTTGCCAAGGAGGGGCGTTCTAGCCCAGATCCAAGAAATCCACGCGGAGCGCCAAGAGGTTAAGCTTATGCCGCTTTTTCTTCTTCAGATACAGTCGACCCAGACGTCCTCGCGTCACCAGGAAGCACGACGGGCGCTTTTGTCGCCATTTTCTGCTTCTGCGGGCCCCTGGACTGGCCCTCGGGGACGCCAAGAGGAGACTCAGGGTGAGAGACCAGTCCCGGGGAATGGGTCCAGACCTCCTCGAGGTTCCACGCCGTGGAAAAATCACGACGTCGGGGGTCTGGGGAGTTTGATTAGTAGGTCGACCCTGACAAATCCAAGGGTACCCTTGTGTCCTGTGTTTCGCGACCCGTGCCTTCTACATTCCTGTGGCAATGTTGCCCTCGGACGGGTCTTGTGTCCTCTCCAACCGAACTCGACTGTAAGCGTACAGTAAGCTATCGGAGGTCCACGCGGATTGCTTGAATCGTCGTTGGAGCCCTCCTAGCGGCGCCCCTGGCGCGCTCCGCGCGCCAGGGAGGGGGCCCAGCGCCGATCCAACACATCAGCGCGGACCACCGAAAGTCCGCCGGATTGCTTCAATCGTCGCCGGAGCCCTCTGGCGGCGCCCCTGGCGCGCTACGCGCGCCAGGGAGTGGGCCCAGCGCGGACCTCCGAAAGTTGCCGTTTCCCGTCGTCCAGGATAGGCCGCGCCACGGCCCTCGGGCGCGGCTGGCACGCCGCCGACTGGGCGGAGCAGCTGAGGAACCTGCTCGGCGTGAGGTTCGACTTTGCGAGGTTGATGGGCCTGTTTTCCACCACCACCACCACCACAAATTGGAGGGGGAGGGGGTCCTCCTCCTCCTCCTCCTCCTCCCTCCCCCCCCCCTCCTCCTCCTCCTCCCTCCTCCTCCTCCTCCTCCTCCTCCTCCTCCTCCTCCTCCTCCTCCTCCTCCTCCCCCTCCTCCTCCTCCTCCTCCTCCTCCTCCCTTCGCCTCCTCCTCCTTTCCTCCCCTCCTCCTCTCCTCCTCCCGCTCCCTTCCCCCTCTCCTCCTCCTCCTCCTCCTCCTCCTCCTCCTCCTGCTCCTCCTCCTCCTCCTCCTCCTTCCCCGCTCCAACTTATGGTGGTGGTGGTGGGAAGCAGGCCCCATCAGAGGCGGCCGCTGCAGCTCGTGACCGGCTGCTCTGGGGCGGAGGCGCCCCACTGGGCGCTGCTGGACCTCATCGCCGGATGCTCGTCCTGGGGGCCCTTCCCGAGGCCACCCTGACTTGGCCACGCGCAGAGGGGGGTGGGGGGAGGGGGGAGGGCTTCTTAGAAGCACCCCTGCTTCTCAGAAGGCGCGGGCCTTCTCTATAGATGTAAGGCTGGCGCCTTCTAAGAAGCAGCCTCCTTCTAAGAAGCCCCCCCCCCCCCCCCACCCCCTTGTGCGCGCCGCCAACTGACGGACCATTGTGCGCGCCGCCCTTGTGCGCGCCGCCCTTGTGCGCGCCCCGAGGCCACCCTTAGGGGGCCACCTGCGAACCCTACCCCTACCCCCCACGATGTCTGAGGGGGAGGGTGGGGTTCGCTTCGCTCGGGAGCTCTCGAGCAGAGCGAACCCCACCCTCCCCCTCAGAAGTCGTGGGGGGTAGGGGTAAGGTTCGCAGGTGGCCCCCTAACCCCGACGGACCATGTTCGACTCGATTCTGTCTCCAGTTCGATTCCAGCTCGGCTCGAGTTCGACTCCAGTCGGCGGACGCTCGACGCAGTGCCAGCGCCCGAGTGGGGCCAGTGGCTCCAGGGAGGTCCCCAGAACGCGCATCTGACCATCGGGGAGAATTCGTTCACGCAGCTGTGGGGCTCGGAGATCAACGAGAACCCGCGGCGGTTCATGCTGAGGAACGTGAAGACCCAACACATCTTCGAGGACATCTGCTACGTGATGGCGGGCGGCGGGCGGTGCGCCAAGCACGCGGGTTATTGCGCCACGCCCACGGGCCCAGTGGACATCTTCATCTCAGAGGCGACGACAGGGGCGAAGAGCCCAGAGGAGAGCAGTCCATGTATCCAGGGGCGCCGATGGTCCATGTTTTCGGCCAGGCTCCTGCAGGGATGCGTGCAACGCCCGCCCCTGGGCTATTCGCCCCTATGCTCGCCTCTGATCATCGGCGGTTTCCCGTGCACGCCGTACTCGTTCGCCAATCCGCAGCGCTTCAAGCGCAACTGTTTCACGGACCCAGCAGCCAAGCCTTTTTTCGAGATGCGGAAGTTCATCGCCGACCGCCGCCCGCGCTTGGTTATCCTTGAAAACGTCCGGGGCCTGCTGGCCCCAAACCCTGAGACGGACGCCTCACCCATAGAGTTCATTCTCCGGGGCAAGAACCCGGACAAGAAGGAACACTGCTACGAGGGCACAGAGCCTGGCGCGGATTGGGGCTTGCAGTTTATAGAGGGGTACGGGCTGCGCTGGGATGTATTCTATTCGTGCGACTGGGGATTGCCGCAGAGCCGCCCTCGAGTCTACATCGTGATGGTGCGCGACGACGCCGGCGGCCAAGAAGCAGCCGAGAGGATGTTTGATATCCTGAAGGCGTGCATGGGCAGGCTGCCACAGGGCGCGTTCAGCGACTTCCTGTTCGAGGAAGACGACCCCAGGTTGCTCGCGGCTCGGCAGGACTGGGCGGCGAAAGCGGCAAAGCGGGACGGCCTGGGGCGGGTGCCCCTGACCAAGTTCTCGGAGGCCCTCTTCCGAACCATGCGCGAGCAGCTTGGCCTCAAGGCGAGCGACCGGCCATACTCGGGCTCGATGCCGGAGGGTTGGCTGCCCCACTGCACCGAGAAGCAGGTGCAGTCTCTGGACGTCGTGTGGGCCCAGGCGGAGAGGCAGGGAGCAGACCTCAACTTCCTGCTGGCGGACCTGAGCCAGCAGGTGTCCAGGGGCTGCTGGCGCGACGACGGCAACATCCCCACGCTCACCACGGGCTGCATGCTCTACAGCTACGCCCGGGAGCGGCTGCTGCTGGGCGAGGAGTGCCTGCTGCTGAACGGCTTCCCCATAGACCACCTCGACCTGCAGAACCACAGCCAGGCAGAGATGATCTTCCTGGCCGGCAACACCATGTCGATACCTTAGTGGGCCCTGGAAACGACAGGGCCGTTTTTTTACCGGTTCCGTTTTGCCGTTTTTTTGCCGGTTCCGACGCCGTTTTTTCACCGGTTCCGTCGCCGTTTCTTGACCGGTTCCGGCTCCGGTTCCAATCCTGGAGCCGTTTTTTTGCCGTTTCCGGTCGCCGTTTTTTTGCCGTTTCCATTTTCAAGGGACATTCGTTTAGAAACGGTGAAAAAACGTCCCTGCCGTTTCCGGGGCCCACATAGGTCGATACCGCTGGTGGGCGCGGTGCTCTTCGCGGGGCTGGTGGCGCTGGACTGGGGCCCCGACCGGTCGGTCACGGTGGGTTGCCACGAGCTGCCCGCGCCGGTCTCCATCCGGGCCGACGCCAGGAAGCTGGAGGAAAAGAAGCACACAGGCACAATGAATCTTCGATTCCCCAGAAAACATGGGAAACTATGGGAAGTGGGCGGGAAGACAGAGACCCAGAAGATATGGGAACATATGAGGCATATTTTGATGTGTGTGTGTATTTTTGTGTGTGTGTGTGTGTGTGTCCTTGGGCCCCTTCAAGGAAGCTGGCGGAGGCGTCCTCCAGCTCCCTGGTCATGCGGTGCAGCCAGGCGCTCCTGGACGACGACAACGAGGGGGCCGTGGACCTCGCCGTCGAGGCCGTCCGCGAGGGCGAGGCCGCGGCCCAGGACCCCGAGCAGCAGCAGCCGTGGGCGCGGAGGGCCTCGGTGCTCCTCGCGATCGCGCGCGACTTTGCCCTGGCGGAGGGCAAGAAGAAGGACAAGGGCCTCGGGAAGAGGAACGCAGGGGGAGCAGGCAAAAGGACACAGAGACCTCACAGCTCGGAGGCCCCCATTCGGACTTCTCGGGTCGGCGCCGGGGGCCCCCCCTTGCCCTGGCGCGCGGGGCGCGTCAGGGGCGGCGCGAGAGGCGCCGTCAGGGCCGGGGGCCCCAGCGCCGAGCCGGGAAGTCCGCGGGGGCCACCGGGTTTTTGCGTGTAGGTCGTTGTCTGTGCCCCCAGGAAGGACAAGGGCACGAGCACGTTCCTGACGCTCATCGCGGAGCACGACCCCGACGTGGGCAAGGCCGCGCCCCAGGCGGAGTCCGACGACGACGCGGCGATGGGGGACGGAACGGGCTGGGAGGAGCGCATGGCGAAGGTGGAGGCCAAGAAGGCGGAGGCCCCCGAGCTGTTGCGGTGGCTCCGGGAGGGCATCAGCCTGCTGCACGCCATGGACCGGGAGGAGGGCATCAGCCGCGCCGAGGGCCTTCGGGAGCGGCAAAAAGGGGGGTGATGACTGGGGGGGTGGGGATACCATGGCGGGGGCCATGATATTTCCCTAGATTTTGTGGCGCCGTTTTAAATTTCATGACGTCCCCCGCCCCCCCCCCCTGGGCCGCGCACATGCCGCCGGCCACAGTTTGCGCCCCCCCTCGAGGGCGCCCCCCTCTTGTGGAGGGTGAAGGGTTTAGGCGACCCGTCCCCCTCCTCCCTCCTCCTCTTCCTCCTCCTCCTCCTCCTCCTCCTCCTCCTCCTCTTCCCCCTCTCCCGTCAAGCCGACTGGGCTCAAGCTGGGGAGGCGGCGTCTTGGGGGTTTCTGCACACATCCTTCCACACGAGTCCTTCCCTGTACCTCAGAGTGGTGCTTGAGTACGTTCACTTGTGACCTCGCCAATTTCACGAATGTCCGCGGAAGCAGAGATGACACCGCCGACACACAAGTCCAGGCCGTGGACGAGGTGCGGCACATGTTCGGAGTTTGAGTACAACAAGAAGGTCAGGTCCAACGGCATGAAGTCGCAAGTTCAATACCAAGAAGCTGTTCAATCCCCGCGGCCCCGAACCTCACGTTCATGTCGAGAGCGACTCGGATCGGGAGAACAGCAGTGTCGGTAGCACGGGCGTTGGCTCTCGGGCGAATGGACGTATGAAGAAGGATCTGGCGACCAAGCAAGTGGACGACCTGTCGGCCCTGCGCACGACGCAGGATGAGGAGATGAGGAAGGCGATGGGGGCCCAGCACAGCCGTCTCGCCTCGCTCCCCGCCGCGTCGGCAGAGTCGGCGGCGGAGTCGGACAATCGCGCCGACGGAGCATGGCGGGCGGCCAGCCACAAGCATGAGCAGTCGGTCGCGCAAGTGCTCGGTCTGAGGGGCCCAGCTGCAGACCGCGGAGGCCAAGGAGCAGGCCGCCGCCAAGGAGCTGGCTCTCGCGGAGCGCATGAAGAAGGACGCGGCTGCAGCCCTCGCCAGGGCAGAGGGCTTGCCTGGCACCAACGCGGCGGGCGCCGGCGCAGGTGGCCCAGGTGGGGCACGCCCGACGATCAGCATCCAGATGAACTCGGAGGTCTTCGACAAATTCGAGGAATGGGAGTGCGAGGGCAGCGACAAGCAGGCGTTGCGTCAGCTCCAGGCAGAGCTGGAGACATGAAAGCAGAGCTTCGGGTCCAAGGATGCGGAGCTCAAGGTAATCTTGGACAAGGTCGCCAAAGCGGAAAAGGAGGTCCTGGACAGGATGAGCAAGAAGCGCAAGACAGCCGCCGCAGGACCAGGTGTCGCAGGAGGGCACGCGACGACGGAGCTCCAGGAGGCGCAGACGATGCGAGCTCGGCCGAGGATCCAAGCCGAAGCCATCCGAGGAGGAGCTGAAAGCAGAGGTCGAGCGCATCTCCCAGGCGCGGTTCGCGGCGTCGGCTGCAGCCAGGGCCTCGGGCAAGGGCGCGACCCTTCAGAAGGCCGCGGCCAAGTCTGGCGGATCATCGTCGACCAGCGCTGCCAGCGCTGGAGGCAATGACGACTGATTAGGTCTGGCAGGTGCTGGCGATGCTGCGGCGAATCAACACACGGGGGATATTGCCAGTGGTGCTACTGGCAGAACATCACCAGGATTATATATATATATATAAATATCTTTTTCAAACGTCACGTGCACGGGCGACAGAACCTGGAATTTTCTTGAGGCGATGTCTTCCAGTCACGACTATCTTGCAGTATGTGAGACACCTGTGGGGGGCAGAGTACGAGCAGGCGTTCAGCCCGAGCTCGGAGAGCATCACTGAAGCTGTTCGCGATCCCTGCTCGGCCGAAGCCCAAGTGAACCAAGACCGACGAGCAGACCGACAGCAACAGCAACGAGGGGGGCGAGTGGCTGCTCACTCGGAATCATAGGCCCGTCTAACATCTGGCCGAGGCGAAAGCCGCCACGGGGCCCCGGGCGGAGCGAGGCGACATGCGCGACGGTTTCGTTCCGCGCGTCGCCCACGCGCGAGGTTTCTCGTCGGCAGTCCATTGCTTTGCTGGGCACTCCGGCATAGGGCTCCGCGAAGTAAGCATTGCCCGATTCCTGAACATTGGATGCTTGCTGCGGTCATTGCGTATTCCATGGGTCGTAGCAGCAGACTGGCAGGAGGAGCCATCGCGCGTCCTGGCTGGCTCGAACCTCGAGCGAATCGGCGGTCATATTGTTTGTTCTGGCGCTCGATGCACGCGCGCGCCTGCTGGAGGGAAAACGCCTAGTCACTTGGATTATTTGATTGGTCTGCGCGCGCATGCATCCGTCATGTCTTGCCTGTCGCTGCTGTCCCGCGGAAGCCTCGCAACGAAATCAGCACGGACGGGTCGGAGCCCAGCTTTGCCAAGGCCAGGAGGGCGACTTCAAGGTTGGTGGCCGAGCAGGCCCGGGGTGCTCAGACTTTTTCTGGGTCTTCCCCGGGGCCAGGTTTAGATGGGGAAGAGGCTGCTGATGTCCGCGGGTCTGGTTCGTCATTTTATCCCTCCCCTCATCCCCGCGCCCGCCCTTCGGCCCTCGGCGACGCGGGCGCCCGCTGCGAGGGCGGGGGCGAACCCGTCGGCCCGGGCGACGAGCGGGGCGGCCACTCGGAGGGCGGCCCGCGGGCGGACGAGACCGTTTTCAGACTTGCCGCCCAGTCTCTCTGCGCCAGCAGCGAAGCCAACCATGCAGTCGAACTGCCACGTGAAGATTCGACCCGAGCCGCCCAGGCGCCGCCTTCGGCGGAGCCGCCCCGGCCGTCTGATGCGCGAGAGTGGCAGCCCGAATCGCGCATTCCTAGCAGCGCGTGGATTGAACGAGGGTCGAGCGCCGGGTTCACCACTGCCCTCTCCTGCCCACCTGCTCCCGCGATTCCCCGCGCCATAGCCTGCCGCCTCGGCTCAAACTCTTCGGCTGTGTTGAGCGCCCTGCGCGCCGGCTGGGTCCGCGCAGTCGAGGCGTCGAGGCTGCCGCGCGCGCTCGCCGCGCGCAGGTTTTCTCTGGGCAGTCGCGCGGAGAGGCGCCCCAGTTTCAGGTGGCCGGCGCTCGGCAGGCCGCGCCGGCTCGGGTCGCGCCACTTCGACATGGAGCTTGCAGCTGGCGGGCTCGGGCCGGCGCAGTTACATGCAGCATCGCGCGGCACCTTCGGAGAGCTGGGGGCGCCGAGCAACTGGATACAGCATGCGTTGCAAATCGGCGTTTGTTGGGCGAGATCCCTGAGAGGGCGCGCCGGATCGTTCGGCCGACCGACAGATTCCACTGGGAATGTTTGGCGCTTGTGTTGGGGCATGGGCGCGGCAGTGATCTCGCCGCATTGGGCGTCTGCGCCGAGGCAGCCGAGAAACTGGCCAGTCGTTGTCAGAGGCGACCCATCGGGCAAGCCATGGGCGAATTTCGAGACTGGGCGGAGACAGCGCCAGCACTGGGCATATTGCGAAGGCCTTGCGGCCGGCGCCGCCGACCCTGAATGGCGACGACGACGACGACGACGACGACGACGACGACGACGACGACGAGCGCTCTTGGGGGCCTCTTGGGGGTAGTTTGTGGGCCTCTTGGGAAGGTCTTAGGGGCCGCTTAGAAGCCTCGCGGGGGCCTCTTGGGGCTTCCTGGGGGTCTCTTGGAGGGGGCCTGGGACGTCTTGGAGGCTACTTGGACGGTCTTGGGGCTGTCTTGGGCGTTTGCGGCAGATCTTTGGGCGACTCGGGGCCCTCTTGGGCCGTCTCGGGGGCCATCTTGGGCATTCGGACTTCATTTGGAGTGTTTTCGAAGTTTCTAGGCCGCCCGAGGAAAAACTAATCTGCCCCCCCCCCCCCCCGCCACCCGCCGCCCGCCCCCGGGACCGCCCCGGGGCCCCCCCCCCCGGGCCCCCCCCCCTGGGGAAGTCAAAGGGAAGGGCCCCCCCTTCGACTGGATTACGACACTGCTAGATTTTTCCCTCGCCCACGAGCTTGAGAAGGAAGCTGCAGGGAAAGGGGGCGACGGAGGCGACAACCGACGGAGACGACGACTCGAACAGCCAGGCCTCTCGCACGCGCCGACAGGGTCGGCGGATTTCACAAGAAGTTGAAGGACCCCATGCCCGAGGGGCAGGATGTCATCTTCAACGGTCAGGGCATGCTGCGCCCGCTCGACGTTCTTGATCACAAGAGTCGCGGGCGGGAGAAGGTTCGGGCGCCATCTTTCTCGCCCGTGGGCGGGGGGCATGTCGAGCTGGCCGATATGGAGAGCTCATTCTGTGATATCCGCGAGAGGGTCCAGCGCGAGTCCCTTCCGCCCATCGCGGCGGAGGATTTGCTAGATGCCTTGAAGAAGATCAAGGCGACGGCGGCCACGGGGGTGGACCGCTTGAGTTCACGTGATTTACTGCGTCTTTCTGTGTGGGGGCCCTTCAGGATATGGCGACCTTGCGCGGAGTATCCGAGGCAACTCAGTCGTGGCCACACCAAGTCCCCCTCACGATCGGCACGCTTCTGCCGAGACACATTTCAGAACATTGAATTATATAACTGTTGCCGCGCTTGTCTAGAGTGCGGCCGCAAGCGCGAGAGCCACATGTGAAGCAGTGGGCGTCCGAGTGCGAAGCTCATTGGGATGTGACCATCAAGAAGAATGCAGCAATCAGAGAGGTGTTTCTTCGGGCGAAAGATAGGAGATGGCGGCGAGGTTTCATCGCGGCAGCGGTCTACTCGACATAGGCCAGATCTACAACCTTACCGGGTGGCTGATGGTCGGCAGAGCTGCGATGCGGCTCGGTTTCCCTGCTGAAGTCGTAGGCCTGGAGCTGATGCAGTGCATGGCGGCGCGGTACTGGCGGCAGTCGGGTACACGCTCTCAGCCATGTGCGCCCTTGCGGTCAGTGGTGCAAGGCCTCCGCGGAGGCGCCAGGTTCGCCTTGTGCGCCATGCGCCACCACATGCAGAAGCTGACGACGGTACATGTGGACATGTCGCAGAGAATATGGATCCGCGGCCTCGGCCAGTCAATCAAGAGTACCAGAGAGACGATGCGCAACAGACTTGCGATGTGCCTCGTCGACACATGTCGTTTGATGCAGCGGGGTGGGCTTCTTCAGTCACCCACGAGAGCCGTTGTGCGCGCGAAACTGGATGGCGCCAAGTGCATTGCAAAGCGGGTGCGAGCTCGCGGGTTTTCGGTGCGTGCGACACCACAGGCGCCATGCCTTGGAGCAGACTATTGGGGGGGATCTCGGCATTCACGCGCGCGTAGGTCTGCGCGGCGGGCCGAGCGCGTGGCCATGCACAAGTGCGTGATCCAATGTGATCGGGCGACTCGACGATGCGGCCTCGCATCGAGGTCGGAGCAGCAGGGAGCAAGAGCGGCAGGAGCCTGCGGGCACCAGCTGCAAGGTGTTTTTGGAGATGCCATGACACCGTGTCACAGAACAGTGGGAAATTCACTCGGACCTCGGATGGTATCTCAAGGCTGCAGGCAGAGACCCAGCCTGCAAGGTGCCGAGAGAATGTTTGCGATTGTGGTTGTCTTGTTGGGTCCGTCAGGCGAGTATTCGAGATGGCATGACACGTGCGTGGCCAGATTTTGCCCGAGAGTTTGCAGCAATTCCACAGGCCCAGCGTGCTCGACACATCCGATGGCCGCAAGGAGCAGTGACCAGTTACTTATGCCAGGCAGGGTGGCGACCAGATTCACCGACCAGCTAGGCCACGCCCAGTAGCGGCGACGGGCTTGAGCACGCCCCGCAGTTTTCTACCGGATCTCACGGGCATCGAGAGCATCGGCTTGTCTGCGGCAGCGCGCGGCCCAACGCCGCGAAGAGTCCGGACTGGAAGGAGGAGCGTGCAATCAGTCGCGCCGCAGGCTGCTCCGACAGTTGGGGGGAGGCCCAGAAGGATGCTGGCTCGCAGGTCCGATGTCGCGGATTGCTGTCGGAGCCACATGGCCACGGGCACGACGGCAGGAGCGTTCCAAATATGAGCTGTGACAGGATTGCTTGCGCTGTCGGGGACATCGGGAGATTGCCGTTCATCGAATGTGGGCGCGCGAGGGACGAGCTCGGCATGGCACGCGCGAGAAGATTGTTGGGGGAGCCTGCGCACGGGGGGGCGGGGCGGGCGCCTGCTTCTGGACGAAAGGGCTCATCCCAGCATCATGGGTCTCAGTGGAGGCGCCGCAGAGTTCCGAGTCTTGGAGCATCATGGGGGGGGGGGGGGCATTTCGCCGACGGGCGTTTTTTTTTTTTTTTTTTTCCTCGGGGGGGCGGGGGGAAGTGCAGGAGCGCCCCGCATACATGCTCGGGAACGCCCGCGGCGGCCCAAAAAGCAAGAACCCCGCTCTGAGACGGGCAGGGCTTGGCCTGGCCTGCTTCCGCAACCTCGACGACATGGAGCTGTTCCTTGGTGTGTGTGTGTGTGTGTGTGTGTGTGTGTGTGTGTGTGTGTGTGTGTGTGTGTGTGTGTGTGTGTGTGTGTGTGTGTGTGTGTGTGTGTGTGTGTGTGTGTGTGTGTGTGTGTGTGTGTGTGTGTGGGGGTGGGGGTGGGGGGGGCTGCCTGGGCCGCGCCAGACGGTTGCCGGTAGAGAGCTGCTGGCATTCCCTTCTGCATCGCGCGGCAGCAGATGGCGCATGACATACACCACGGACAATGAGAGTGTCATCCGCCAGCGGGGCCAGAGAGCGACCTGCGGTGGCAGATCGGCGCGCGCCTCAACGATCATCCGGAGAACCAGTGCACGATGCGCTTCGCCCGCTCGCATCTCGAGGCCGCGGCCGTGCTACAGGGCAGGGCGCCCAAGCTGTTATTGTCGGGCAATGCCATGGCTGACGCCTTCGCCGCGCGTAGAGCTGACGAGTCAAGGATGCCAGAAAACAATCGCACGAGGGTTCTCGCCGCAGAACACAAGGCCTTTCTTGTTCAGTTGAGGATTTCCAGAGCATGATTGAGGCCTTGGCCGCTGAACAGGCGCATGAGAAGAGTCTAGGTAGGAAAGCAGCCCGTCGTGCCCAGCCTAGACCACCCACCCCTTCTGTGTGTGCGTTCTTCTCGTCTCCGCATGTGATCCGTGACTCCACTGGCAGTAAGTGCAGTAGGTGCCAGGGTACAGCCACAAAAACTAAGCGTAAGCACTGGCTTACCTCCTCGTGCTTTGAGCTAATTAATGTGGACAGTGTTCTGTTTGAAACTCCCCCCAGGCGGCGGGCTCATATCGCAGGGGGTTTTCCGGGTTCAAGCCATCACTTGCGACATCACGCGGGACTGGTGGTTCTGTCTCGCGTGCGGGTTCTACGCAGCTCAGCAGCTCAAAGAATTAGCCGAGCCGTTTGTTGGTAATGTAGACGGTAATCAGACTGATTACCTCGCTCCGATGTTCAAGGGTCTCTGGCCTAAAGCCTTCAGCAAAGCTGAGCTAGCCAAGAAGCAGAAATCGAGCATTCAAGTTTTTGTTCCCCGACTTGGTCGCCACGCCCAGAACTGCAGAACTCCTCCCCCTCCACCTCCGCCTCCTCCTCCTCCTCCTCCTCTCCCTCCTCCTCCTCCTTCTCCTCGGGTCGCCTACGGCCCTTTCTGGGAAACCTGGCACTCTCTTGGCGGTTCCCGAGGCCTGCGAAAGTTTGTGGAAAAGGGCCTGCTGCAGCTGAAGGTGGACCAGAAGGCCGAGCGCCTGCGCCGCCTGGGCACGCCGGAGGTGCTGCACTACCTGTGGAAGGACCTCCTCATCCGCGAGGCGAAGCTTAAGTCGGGCACGTCCCTCTACAGGAGGACCATTCAAACATAGTCGGAGGACGATATGTTACGCATTGTTTGGGGTCTTACGTGCGTCTTAAAGGTATTTTTATGGTTCGTCCAAAATCCGCCTGTAGGAGGACACGCCCGACCTAAGGCGAAGCCCTTTTTCTGCCGGGTGCAGCTGGATTCCCTGAAGCAGGACCTGAGGCAGCCCAAAGCCGGCTCGGACGCGGAGTGGCTCGACAGGGCGGCGCAACTGGCCAACGCGGACATGACCTCGCAGCGCATGGAGCTCCTGGAGGCCGTCAGGCAGGTGCAGCCGCCGCCCGCGCCGCGGCTCTGCAGGCTGCTGAGGATGTGGAAGGCAGACTGCACGATGATGGACAAGGAGATCAAGCTGGTCCTGGAGACCCTGAAATCGTTGCTGTCGGCCTGGGAGCGGCCGAAAGCGAGGCACCAGGTCTGGTGCGGCCTCGACGGCGCCGCGGAGGTGGGGCGCCTGGCCCGGGAGCTGGCCCGGGCCTGCCAGACCAACAAGAAGCCCGCGTCTGGGAACGCGCTGTCGAGGCTTGCGGAGGAGCGTGTTTCTATATCGCTTGGGGCATAATGGGCATTATAGCCCCCTACCCCCCCCCCCCCTATAGCGTACCGCCCCTCCCCCCCCGTTGCGCTCCACGCACTGCCGCCGTGCGCACGGCGGGGGCGGAACGTTACATTATACCCCCCCCTCCTGGCCCCCCCGCACCCCCCGTACTGCCCATGATCGCCGAAAATAAAGAAACGCGCTCGAGGAGGCCGAGAAGATGGCGGAGGAGGAGGCGGGGCCCGCGGCCAAGCAGCCCCGCGCCGCGGCGCAGGAGCCCGGCGCGGCGCTGGCCTTCATGGAGAAGAAGGTGGCGGCTGAGGAGCGGCTCGCGGCCTGCATCGGCAGCGAGTCCATGAAGCTGTCGGAGTGGATGGGCCTCTTTCCCACCACCGCCACCATAAGTTGGAGGGGGGGGGAGGAGGAGGAGGAGGAGGAGGAGGAGGAGGAGGAGGAGGAGGAGGAGGAGGAGGAGGAGGAGGACCCCCTCCCCCTCCAACTTCTGGTAGTGGTGGTGGCGGAAAACGGGCCCCTCAGGAGTGGAGCGTGAAGATGGGGGCGCTCATGAAGGAGCTCACCGGCCTCCTCGCGCCGCTTGGCCTGGACCCTCAGGGCGGGCTGCTGCTGCTCGACGAGGTGGGCAGGCTCGACCTGGCCAGGCGGGGGTGCGAGCTGATCCGCGAGGGGATAGACCGCCATGCCGTGAAGCAGGGGGAGGACCTCGTGCTGCAGCTGGTGGAGCGGGAGCTGCGCATCGCCGGGCTGGAGAAGGCTCGGCGACTGCAGCGGGTGTGATTACGCCGGGGTTGGGTTTGCGATCTGCGCCGGTGGGTCCCGGGGGTCACCACGTCGCGCCAAAGGTCTGATGAGCCCCCCACGGGGGTGCGCGGCAGGGGCCCTTGCCCAGGTCCTCGCCCGCCCCCCCCCAGGCGCGGGTTGCAGACCGCACCCTGTGCGAACCACACCCGTCGGGGTCGCCGAGAGGTGCTCGAGATCCCGGGGAACGCCTCCCTGCTCTCGAGGGTGGACGGCCACCCGGAGGAGGACAGGGCCCGCCTGTTGGCCGGCCTGCAGGCGGCGGGCGCCTCCGAGGAGCACGCCAGCATGACCGTGGAGGCGGCGCTGCGGGCCCACGTCATGGTGAGCAGGCTCTACCCGGAGGGGATCCAGATGCCCGAGGGGTGGCAGGCCATGGGCCTCCCAAGCGCCAGTGCGATCGGGGGGGCACGCGGCACCACGCAGCTGCGGGATGAGAGTGAGCGGGTGGGACGCGGAGGGGTCGCGGGTGTGGGTCGCGGGTGGGTCGCGGGTGGCCGCGGGGCGGGTCGCGGGTGGGTCGCGGGGCGGGTCGCGGGTGGGACGGTGATGGCAGCAGCAGCAGCAGCAACAACAGCGGCAACAGCCAGAATTGTTGCAAGAGTTTTCGGTCTTGCCTGCTTGCGTGCCATGCGGCACGTATATCCCAAATCCTCGGTACCCGCACACTTCGTCTTCGATCGTGCCCCCCTGGGGGTAGATTTTCCTTACCTGCGGCGTGTAATTGGCGCAGCCCCTGAAGCACGGGAAGAGAGGACGCATGGAGCACGGGATTTGCAGGAGGGGGGCGAGGAACAGAAAACGTGTGGCAGAACCATACGGGCTGATCGGGCGGGTCGACCCTAACGGGCGGGTCGGAAAGGCGCGCCTAAGTGGCCGTGTGGAGAAGGCGTGTTGCTGAACCGTGAACACCGCGTGAATCGCGAAAAGAGCCCGAGCGATAGCGCGATTTCCAAGTAAGTCTTGGGAAAGGCCACAGCGAGAGCGTGATGCCTGAGTGTCGAGGGCGCGGCGTCTGAATCAATTGCCAGGAAGTCCCACGCGAGAGCGCTTTTCCTGCATAATGGGTGAGGAAGTCCCGCGCGAGAGCGCAATTGTGAAATCAATTGTGAGGAGTGTCCGGCGGGAGCCGTTGCTGTTGCAGTTCGGGGGCCATGCGCTCAGTTTGGTGACACCAAGTTTCCCTTGATAGAAAACGGGGTGCGAGCCCCGAGGGGGGCCCTTCAATTGAAAAATCAGTAGTTACCGGAGCGAGGGTCAACACAATTTATTTTTGGAATGAACATATGTTTTCTAGACATGAGACTTCAACAACAAGAACAACAACAACCACAGCAACAACAGCCACAGCAGCAGCAGCAACAGCAGCAGCAGCAGCAGCAACGGCAACAAACAACACCACCAATAGCAACACCAGAAATACAACCAACACTATCACTATTAACAACAACACCAACAACAGCAGCATCAGCAACAGCAACAGCAGTTCAAGACTGTTTGCAACTATTTGCCCGCGTGCCATTCCATACGTACATCCCAAACACTCGGTCCCCGCCCTCTTCGTCTTCGATCGTGCCCCCTTGGGGTCATCTCTTCCCTGTCTGCCACGTGCACTTAGAGCAGCCCCTAAAACAGGGGAAGAGAGGGCGGATGGAAGGGGGAGGGAGAAACATGGAACACGAGAGAGAGAGAGAGAAAGAGAGTAGCAGGTGGGGGGCTGTGAGCAGACAACACGTGGCAGAACCAGACGGGCTGATCGGGCGGGTAGACCCTAACAGGCGGGTCGGGAAGGCAGGCCGAGCAAGCGGGTTGTTGAAGCGTGAGTCCTGCATGATTCGCGAGGAAGACTCAAGCGATAGCGCGATTCCCAAGTAAATCGTGAGAAAGGCCAAAGCGAGAGCGTGATTCCTGAGTGTCGAGGGCGTGCGAGGAAATCCCACGCGAGAGCGTTGAATGACGTGTGCGGAAGTTCCGCGCGAGAGCGCGATTTGGGAATACATTGTGAGGAAGGAAGTATCCAGAGGGAGCCGCTGTTTTTGTAAGCTGGGGGCCAACAACCCAGTTTGGTGACCCCAGGTTTTCCCGTATGAAGCACAGGGCGCGAGCACCAGGAGGAGCGTTGGTACAGGATGTTCACTATGGCCACCGTGGGGGGGAACAACAGTAGTACTTAGTTTCAGAGATGAGAATTCGCAGCAACATCAACAGCAACACCAACAACAGCAACCTCAACACCATCATCAAACACAACAACAACACCAACAACAACACCAACAACAACACCATCACCACCAACACACATAACAGCATCACCATCACCGACAGCAGCAGCAGCAGCAACAGCAACAGCAATAGCAAACGCTGTACTAACCGGTTTAAGACCGTTCGCACATCCCAAACCATCGATGCCCGCCCTCTTCGTCTCCGATCGTGCCCCCCCTGGGGGCACATCTTCCCTGCCCGCCGCGCGCAGTTGGCACAGCCCCTAAGACATGGGACAGCACGCGAGGGTGGGAAGAGACACGGGGGAGGGAGAAGGCTGGAGCAGGAGGAGCGGGAGGAGCGGGAGGAGCGGGAGGAGCAGGAGGAGAAGAAGGAGGAGGAGGAGGAGGAGGAGGAGGAGGAGGGGAGGGAGAAGGACGGTGCACGAGAGAGATCAGCAGGAGGGGGGTCGGTGAGTAGTCTCCAGGGAACGACATCCTGGCGTGCAGTGGGCTCGTTAAGGGTATGTCAAGGCTTTAGTGGTTTTGTAATGGTTTTCTGGTGGTTCCAGGCGCTGGTGGTCTAAAATCCATAAAGCCAGTTGCTGCTAAAACTAAAGCAAATCCCATGTGTCCTAACATTGGAAGCTTAAGCATTTAGAACCCCAGGGTCCAACAGTAAAGATACCATGCAGGTTACAGGGGAGCTAGCTACGCAACCAAGGCGAGCGTCGGAACTAGAGCTTGACACCGACTGGCGGGAGCGGCGGGAGGCAATACTAAAACCCACTGCCGCTCATTTATCCTCTCTGGCTGGGCACCCGCACAGCTGCCCGTAGCAGCTTGCGCGGGACGGCGTGGGGCCACAAGGGAGGCGAGGGTCGCGGAGCATGGCCAGGGGGAGACGGATAGATCCCATCAGGAGTGGCGGGATAGAGAGGCAGAGGAGAGCGGAAGAAAGAGGCAGACAGAGATGGACAGAGACGTAGAACGCAAGGCGTAATAGAACACGCCATCGTGGTCATCGCCATCGCCGTCGCAGATTCTGTCAATCTCGTTTCCGTCGTCGGCGACGGATACGGCGCCGACGCAGACGGCGAGGGCGGTGGCTATGACCACGATGACGGAGAACTCGGCAGTACGTATCTTCGTAGAGACGCGGGTGCCGATTCCGAAGAGAGTCGATCAATTCGGCGATAATGCGGATGCCAAATTGGCATCCGCGTTATCGCCGAGTTGATCGATTCGAAGAAATTCGGGTCTGCTTACTTACCTTGACGCCCTCCTCGTTCCTCGTCCTCCTCATGGTCTTCCTCTCCCCCCCAGTGCGTGCGTCCTACCTTTCCTCCTCGTCCTGCTCATCCTCTCCACAGTTTCCCCTCCCCCCTCCCCCGTATCCTTTCTCATGTCATCCACGATCCCCCCTCCTTTACGCACTTCCCGTGCGTCCCCAGTGCCCTCCGCATCAATGATGCGGAGGGCACTGGGGACGCACTCGAAGCGGCTAAACTATGTGCACGAGCGCCATCCTACCCAGCTGCATCACCGACATCACCATGAAACCCCCACTCTGTCACTACCAATCGGAACCCCAATAAATCCTCATGATCCCCATCGCCATCACTGCTCCCCGTTCACTTCCCTCTTCCTTCGCAGGGTCACTATCATCACCGCTCGTTTTACGTTATCCGAGTCCCCCCCCAACCCCCTCATCTTCATCTCCATCCCCCCTTCCCGCGGTGTCGCCGCGAAGCGGTATTGCTACCATCGTCGTCATCGCTTTCGTTTTCATCCCCATCATCTTCATCATCACGATCCTCGCCCGAATCGTCACCCAGGCCGTCGTTGTCGTTGAGTTCGCGATCGTCGCCAGGGGCCCTCCTCACCCCGTAGCCCGCATAAGCTTACTCCTCCCCGTTCCCTCTCCCCATCCGCCTCCATCCCCTGTAATCCTTTCATGCCCCATCACGCGGCGTCCTTCCTCACCCGTTCGTCATCCTCAGCATGCCATTGTGTATCCTATGCATCGCCCGTATGTTTAACAATGCCCTCCTCCTCCTCCTCCCACCCCTATCGTTCACTCTCCTCCGTGTGTGCGGCCACTGCACTTTGACACGCTGCGTGCTGGGCGCCAGCCGAGTCTGCTCCAGCTGGCAGCAGGCCTGTCCACGCAGGCCGTAGCGATGCTCTCGCCCCCAGCGACAGCATGCGTCAGCACGGTCGGCGGGCTGGAGTAGCCGTCTACTCCCCGACCTTCCCGATGTAGTCAACCACGGGACCCTTGAACGAGGCCCAGATCTTCGAGTCGCCGCACGTGGCGAAGGTGTGCTCCAGGTCCCGCTTGATGAACTCCCACTCCTGCTTCTTGCCATCGTCGTTCACAGCGATGGCCTTCGGGAAGATCGGGAACACGATCATCGATGCTGTCGGGCTCTCGTCGGCGGAGCCCTTGCCGAGGAAACTCGTGACGAAGGGGACGACGCCGTACGGCACGTAGAGCACCTCGTCTTTATTCAAGAAAGCTGCTGACGACTCCGTCCACGCGGTCTTGCAGCAATCATCCTCGTTGCTCTTGGCCCACTGCTGCAAGGCGCTGAGGGCCGTGAGGCCGCCGCGGAGAAGAGAGCCCGCTGCCACGAGCTTGAGCAGCACAGTGGGGGTGCCCACGTTGACCACGAAGGACGGCAAGCCAGGGAACGGCCAGCTGTTCGAACTCCAGCTCCAGGAGTGGTTCTTCGTCAGCACCAGGAACGGCTTGCGACTCAACTCCATACACGCCTCGTCTGCCTCCAAGGGCCCGCCCTTGAACTCCACGCGGAAGTCAACCTCGTCCAGACACTTGCCCAGAGCGATCGACGTCATCGCAGCTTGGTTGGTCATCAATTTCTCGACCTTCTGCGTTTTTCTCACGATGATGTCCCAGTTGTTCGTGATGGCAGCTCCGAGCTTACTCATGGTTCCAGTGTTGAACTCCTGCAGCTTGACATGGAACGGATCCTCCATAGCCGAGTCCACGGAGTAGCTCTCGACGGAGCCCTTCGGGCGAGGAGGAGCAGGGAAGGGCAGCACTGAGAAAGTGGGCAGGTGGGGATGGATAAAGACGAGGAGGGGACGTAGGATGATCACGAGGGTGATAAGGAAGAAGAGGATGAGGAGGATTGTCTTAATGAAAACCTTATTCTCGTGCACCAGGCCGCCGAACTCCGCCGCGAGCGCCTGCGGCATCCCAGTGTTCTCGAACATGGTGACGTGTTTCTTCAGCTGGGTCGTCTGCTTCCGCTTGTCCTTGGCCTTGCCCTCCTGTTGCTGCCTTCTCACCTCCGCGATGCCAGCGGCGATCTCCTCTAGCGTACTGGCCTCCGTCTGGATCTCCTCCAGCTTCTTGATCAGATCGTCCCTGGCCTGGTTGGAGTCACTCGTCTGGCGCCACGCCTTGATGCCGTTCACGTCGTTGTCGAGCTCGCTGAACTTCTGGATGAAGTCACTCTTGGTCTCCTTGTACTTGTAAGTCGCCACGTCGCCGTCGTCCTTGACCTGGTCGTAGCCCTTGTCCAGCCTCTTGAAGCTGGCCTCGTTGCTGTAGGGGATCGCCCTGAGCGCCTGCTTGAACATCGAGGTCAACTCCCTCTTCATGGCAGCGAACGCGGCTGGGGCCATCCTCTTCTCGAACTCTGGCCACACTCGCTCCTTCTCCTCAGCCTCAGGCCCCAGCTCATCCTCAGCATCAGCCTCATCGTCCTCAAACTCGTCGGCGGCGCGAACTGACTTCGCAGCGACGCCCTGCCTCCCGTCGGACTTCTTGGCACTGCCAGGACCTGCGCTAGATCCACCGCGCGAGGAAGGGGCTCTGCCAGGCACCTTGCCAGCCGATCCGCTCTTGAGCGTGTGCGATGGCGGGGGCTGCAGCGACATCGGCGAATGCGAGCGCATCTTCTTCGCAAGCTTGAGGGTCGGAGCCTCCAAGTCAGACTCGTCGAAGTAGTTGGTGGCCGTGGCAGCGTCGTCATCGGATCCAGCCGCTGTCTGATGGGAGGCACGTTTCCCCTTCCCGCACCAGTTCAACTCCCCCGAAACCCACCGAGTATCTGAGATCTGAGGGAAACGGAGGCGGGGGGGAAGGGTACCGGAACCCTTCAGAGATCGTCAGTAGGGATGGGAGCTTTATGATGGGCGTTACGATTGCTAACAGTCAAGTTGGTTTTGTGAGGTATTCGGGAAATTAGCTAACGCTAGAAAAGGGCCATCAGCACTCCTCTAGTCTATTTGGCTGGCCTTATTTGGATGGCTGGCCGCCTATTTAGCAGTTAATTCAACATACATAGCGTAACAATGTGGACATGTAAGCACTAGTACCTCGCTGGTCCCCCCACTGTACCATGGGATCCTATTGTATTCATAGCGGGCGAACGGGAGAGTTGATCTGGCGTGGGAGGGTAGGGTGGATACACATTTAATTGAATGCGCTGCCATTGCCGACGATGGTGCAGACAACGCCGAGCTCCCACGAACCCGCATCGCCTTGTGGCCTCTGATGGTGCTGAAGATGTCGTCGGCCTTCGGGGTGAACGCCGCCTTCCGCTTCAGCGGGTCCCTGGCCTCCTGGGGGGTCAGCTTCGACTGCTTGACCGTGGCGTCCGAGTGGCTGATCTCCTCGAGACTCAAGGCAGTTCAATGTTCCTCCTGCCCGTCCCTCCCCTCCGTCCCGTGAGCATCCTCCATCTCCTCCTTTATTCCATCACCATAATCATCCGTATCCCCCCTTCTGCCTCCGCATGGTCGACCTCCTCCGCCTCCTGATTGACGTCATCTTGAGTATCCTCCCCCTCCCTTCCTCCGAGCCCTCCTTATCTAGTTCCGCATCATCCTCCTCCTCCGTTGTTCATCCCTTGTGTCCGTGGGCATGCGGACGGCAATGACTGCGACGCCATCCTCCACTTCGCGGTACACATTGCGATCGACCTTGTCGTGGTCCCAGGCGGCCTTGGCCTCCTCGATGCTCATGCCGTAGTTGAGCTTGTGCCAAGCGATGTAGCCCCGCTTGTCCATCAGCAGCGATTTGCCTTTCCGTTTCACGGTGCTCTTGATGAGGATCTCTTCCATCTCGCACAAGGTGTTCGCCAACTGGTCACGGGATCGAGTCCTCGGCTTCTGCACAACGAGCGGTTTTGCCAAACTCTTGAACTTCTCAGGGTCGTTGTACCTCAATCTGGTCATCGCCTTCTTCACTGCAGGCGACTTGCCAGAGACTCTCTCCAGGGAGTGCAAGCCGTTGAAGCAGCACTTGTGCAGGCACTTGAAACCGTACTTGGGGTGTGCGGAGCGCTGTTGAAGCCCGAGAAGCGCGATGGGCTCGTCGCAGAGCTCGCAGAGCTCCTCCTCGACATCAGGCGCCTCCACGCTGTCGTCGGAGCCGTCGTCGCCGTCGTCCTTCGAGATGCCGAGGCCCTTCTGCAGCGACTCGAGGATCTCATCGTCGCTCGGGTGGCCATTCGTACACATCGCCAGGAAACGCCCGTATGCCCAGCTGCGCTTGGCCGCCAAAGGGCCAGGAGGAGGCGCTCGCCTCGTCGCCAAAAAAGGCTCGAGCGAAAATGAGCACGAGCATGTTCTGAATGTGCGTGCGAGTGCCTCTCAAACCTACCAGAAAAGACATGGTGGGCGGACGCAGCATATTGTTAAACAGCGAGCGGCATCAGGAAGGGAACGCCAGAGCCTAGTCTGACCATCTGGACGGCCCATAACATTGAACAGGGGATAGTGGGAGCGCCTTAATGGGACCCACCGACGCCGACGTTATCTGGACATAACGTCTGCTGTGCCATGAAGATGTTTGTTGGTGCGGCGTCTGGGTGCGATGCCTGCTGGTGCGGTGCCTGGCAACGTGCACATGCGTGCGCGAAGCGAACGCAATGTAGTGTACATATACATGCACGTATCAAGCAGAGTGCGTCCATATACCAGTATGAATACATGCGTGCGTGGTGGAGTGCATGTGCAATGTGTGAATGCGATAACGCGTTGAAAAGTGATCGTGCGAATGTCTACCTCATCTGGTGTTTTAGTCCACCGTCATCCCCATGAATCTGAAGTTTGTCTGGTTGTAATGTATGTGAGCAGGCTCGGGGCCACCTTGGGAAACGCATGCCGTAAACAATAACATGCTGCACGTCGCGCGGGGATCGAGCGTAAACAACGGCGCTGCGGCAATTGCTAGGAAGTAAACGTACGCCGAAGTCTCGAGTGATGAACGAGGCAAGAGGCAGGAGGGGGTCGGCGAGGGATAGGAGGGGAGGCGACGAGGGAGAGGAGGGGGGAGCGGCGAGGGACAGGGAGAGTGAGCGGCGAGTTGAACGATATTGCGTAAACGAAAGCCAAGCAAACATGTGCAGACACTGCACGCGACAAATTGGCGCCATACCCGCATGGGCACGCACTCGCGCAAGTGCGTCGCCGACGCAAGGCGCCGCATCGGCACCCCACTTGCGAGAGTGCGTAGGGTTGCCCACGCGCGGCCCAAGGACACGTTCACCCAAGGATTGGCGAGTGGCAGATGGTTACCGCAAAGATCCACGCACTGCGCCGCGCGCTGATGTTCTAAGCTCTACCGAACTCTGGCGCGCCGCGAAGGGCTGGGGGGGGGGGGGGGGGGGCGGAGCGGGCGGGGGGGTCGGGGGGGCTCGCGCGGGAAAAGTGACGGGGCAGCGAGGGCAGTGGGACAATGCGTTGGGACAGCGGTGGTTACGCTGAGGGCAGAGAGGGATGGGGCGAGTACGCGCTAGGATTGGGGTTGGGACGATGAAGGGGGGGGGGAGGGGGGGGCGCGGATTGCGGCGTCCGCCGCGACGTGGAACTCGGGGAATGCGTTGCGAGGGACGGGGGGCGGGGGAGGGGGGCGGCCCGCGTGTTCTGCCGTGATCTTGTTCCGCCGTGCTTATGTGTTCTGCCGTGCCTCTGTGTGCTCTGTGTGTTCTGCCGTGCTCCTGTATGCTGCCGTGCGGATCGTCGCGGCGGGCGTTTTGGTGGAGTTGCTGGGTGCGTGCGGCCCGATTTGAACGAGCACCTCTTCAGATGCGGTTTTCCAGACAATAGGTTTCAGACGTGGTTTCCGTGGCGCGCGTGTCGGCGTGCGTGCGAGGTGTGGTTCGTTGTGCCCTTGTGTGCTCTGCCGTGCTCCTGTTCTGCCGTGCTTCTGTGTTCTGCCGTGCCGCTCGGGGGCGGATGGCCAGCGGGCGAGCGCCTCCACGGGGGCCGCGGCCCTCCCGATAGATGGCCCCAAGACGCGCAGGCCGCTTGTCCACCGCCTCGATGAAGCAGCGCAGCAGCGCAGCGCCTGCAACGTCATTCGCATCGGGCCCCGCGCATAGCGCCGACGCGCTCAGGGCAAGCACGCCCCGCCAATGCTATGATGCAGCCGAACCCGATGAGCGTGGCACCCCCGATCCTCCGTCCAACAAGGACTTCTTCAGGTGGCGGCCTCACATACCGATGACGCCGCCAAGCCGCGCTGCGCCGCCCGTGAAATCGGGCGCGCGCTTGCGCAAATGCGCAGTCCTGGGTGCGCCGCTGAACGCATGCGCGCGGGCCAGCGCTTCCCCGACCCCCCCGCCCCCCCCTCTGCCACCCCCACCGCATCCCCCCCCCAGCCCACCCAACACGCAGCCGCCGCGCTCCCCGTGCCCCTCTTCCACCGCCGCGGGCGCGCTTGCAACGCTCAAGCCTTGGCGTGAGAAAGGCGCTGGTTGCCGCCCCCCGAAGCTCCCCCCCCCAGCGGGCGTGGACACGGGGCACCCCACACGCCCATCCAAGGCGCCCAATGCCACTCACGCGCCGTGCCGCGCGCTCAAGGTTACAACCGCAGCGGATCACTATGACGAGTCGGCGATGGCGCGGCCCATCTTGGATAGCGCAGGTTAACGCATCTCGCGCGTTAGGGGCGGCTGCGCGCGTGCCGCGACAGCGCCCATTTGATCGCGCGCGCCGCGTGGTCTTGGCAGCGCGCAGTGGCGCGCATACGTCGCCGCTTGCAACCGCACATGTCGCGCCCGAGCGTCTGCTTCACATGTTCTCATGCATGGCGTCGTCTTGTGTTTTCTTAAATTGTCGTGTGATTTCGCATGTGATGTCGGTGGTTTTGCGCCACATGTCGTGGTTTTTTTGTGGTTCAGTTGTGGTTCGTAGTGGTTTTTTTTTCCGTCCGTGGGGTGGGTGTCGTGGTTTTTTTGTGGTTCGTTTGTGGTTCGTCGTGGTTTTCTGTGGTTTGTCGTGGTTTTTTTGTGGTTCGTTTGTGGTTCGTCGTGGTTTTTCCACCGTCGGTCGGCGTTCGTGGTTCCTTGTCATGCGCTTTCTTTGATCTGAAGCAGGCATGTCTTAGATTCTGCTGTTTGTCAATGCGATTGTCACCGAAAGGGGGCTCACTGTGGGGGCGTAGGCAGTTGGTGCTATGCCGCACTTGGACAGCGGCCAGTACGTTCACCCTTGGTTAGGAGCAGTCGCCATTGTCAGAGAGCTTCGGTGCCCATCTCGAAGGCGCCCGACAAGGCTCCAAGAAGGCCCAGCATGGCCCCAGGCCAACCGCGAGGCTTTGCGTTCACCGCCATCGCGGGTGCCCACGCGCCGCGCCGCGTTTAGTTGGGCACCGTTTTCCCGACAGTTCGCTTGGGCGTCGCCTTTGCATGGGTTGGGGGGCGTTGGTGGGGAGACGCAACGCGGAGCTGACGTCTTTAGGTTTGGCGGCGCCCTCGGAGGGATCGACATGTACGTCTGCATGTATAGGGTTGCAGAGCTTGCAGTGCAGGCCCTGCAAAAGGTAACGTGTTTGTTTTGTGCAGGCCTTCCAGATGTAACGTGCTTGTCTTGTGGAACATTTCCATTGGTATCGTGTTTGTCTTGTACAGTCAGTCCAAAGGTAACGTTTTTGTCTTGCACAGGCCTTCCGTGTGTAACTTGTTTGTCTTGTGCAGGCTTTCCGAAGGTGCAAACAAGTACATCGGTACGGTTGCATGTATAGTGTTATAGGTGTGCAAGTCGACATGTATGCATACGAAGGTGCGCATGTACAGACGTGTTGGTATGTGTAAACGCGTACGTGTGTGGAAGTGTATTCGCATGCGTAATTGCGTGTTGGCATGTGCTTCGCAAGCGTGTGCATGTGCATGTGTACGGGTGCGATTGGGTTGTCGTTCTGTGCATGTAGTCGCGCATTGTGGCTGTGTAACGTGTTACGTGCGCATGAGGTGCACGTGCGTGATGCAATATCGCGTCGTGCATGTGGTGCGCCCCCGCCCCTGAGCAGCACGGATGGCCTTGGCGGAGACCACGGCGGCGCCCAAACCTTCCGAGGCACCACGTCCGAGCGAACGCTCGACGTGCTCGAATCTGCCCGTTGCTGCGGGGCGGTGGGGCCGCGGAGAGGGAATGGCACACGACGCGGGGCGCGAGCGAGGGGATGCGGCTCTCTCAGGGCGGCGGGGCGATTGTTCCTCCCCCCAGCCTCCTCCGCCATCCTCCCACCCATTATCCCTCCACCTCCTTCGCCTCCTCTCGTCAGCACCTCCTCTCATTGAGTCTTCTCCGTGCGCCTCCTCTTTCCCTCACCTCCTCCCTACCGCAACCTTCTCCCTCCAACTCCCCTCTCCTCCTCCCCCTATCGC